CTTCTGGCAATCTTAATTCCAGTTTGGGATTCCTCCAGTCCAGCCTTCCGCATGATGTATTCTGCACATAAGCTAAATAAGCTAGGGGACAATATACAGCCTTGTCATACTCCTTTCCCAATTTTGAACCAATCAGTTGTTCCATATCCAGTTCTATTCACCTGACAGTTGTTATATTCAGAAGCTTCTACCAAGAAAGTAAGAATGAGCTCCACTTCCTTTTTTTCTCTTTCTTTCTTTTTCTTTCTTTCTTTTTTTGCATTTCTTGGTAATGATAAACTGTCCTTGTATCAAGCTATCCATATAGCCTAAGACATTGCCATTCATTTTAAAGAATCCTTCAAATTGTCTTTGGTACCCTACTTTTGGGACCTATTTCTGTCTCTTTTGTTGTTAGGTACACACAGGTTGCTCTCAACGTATGGAGACTCTAACATACATGAGATGTTCAAGAAGTAGTTTATCTCCCCACTAATTTTCCATGACAGAGTAGGGATTTGAACCCAGATCTCCTAAGTATTCATCTGACTCTGTCTATGACACCATCCCAGTTCCCACTGTCTGTCTCACAAATTCATAGGTTGAGTTATAAATTGCCATTTATAGTATGTAGCAAGGTTAACCCCAGCTCTCAGATTATAACCAAGGGATTCTTCTCCTCTCCCCTTTTTGATCTTCAGACAGGAGCCTGTCCTTTATCACTCTCAAAGGACTTACTTTCAGTTTGAGGAGCATGTTAGGATGCTACCATGGGCCAGGGGCAATATAACTTCATAATATTTGCTCAGGAAATTTAAATAGAAGTCACTATTGGCCCAGATCTCAGACATCTCTCATCCTGTTATATGCCAACAATATGGTACTACTATCACGTACTTAATTATTCCTTTATGCATAAATAACAGATTATGGACAATGGCTAGGTGTTATCTTGAAACTAATTATGTACTGTTATATTCTGCTTGCACTGGGCCTTTTTGATCTGTTTCATATGGGGCATATATTACCCCATCTATCTGAGAACTGCAGTTTGCTGTACATTTTTATGCCAATAAAGATGTTGATGAAGATGATGATATTGGCCCAGATCTCAGACAGATCTCATGCTAGAACTCAAATTAACTGCCTCAAAAAAGCAGCTGCTCCAGGGAATTCATCACATATTTGTTTCATTCATATTGGTTGCAAAAGAAGATTAGACACATTCATGGCAGAGAAAGTTATCAATGACTAATGGTCATGATGACCAGTGGTCCCCAACCTTGGGCCTCCAGATGTTCTTGGACTACAACTCCCAGAAGCCTTCACCACCACCTCTGCTGGCCAGGATTTCTGGGAGTTGAAGTCCAAGAACATCTGGAGGCCCAAGGCTGGGGACCACTGATGATGACTATATATTACCCTACAGTAGTTTGGTTGTGTTTCTCTGCATATCAGTCACTGGGGAACACTAGTGGGTAGTGGATGCTCTTACTTTCTCCTTCTGTTTAGGGGCCTCCCAGAGAAAACTGGCTGGTTGCTGTCTCAACAGAATGCTGGACTGGATAAGCCTTAACTCTTCTTCTATCCTTAACATAACACCTTGCTTTATAAGAGGCTGTGTCTGTAACAGAGAAAAGGAATGAAAATAATATGTCAGTCTTATTTGCCAGGAGAATATGTTGATTCGCTCGGTCACTGTCAGTTCTGTGACGCCTCCTGTTCTAAGTGCACAGGATCAGCTTCAACAGACTGCACTGCCTGTGCATCCACCAGGTAAGTGATGGTTATTATTTGTAACATGGATCTCTGCCTCAGGCTTGCAATGTTGCCCTCAAATTGGGAATTGGAAGCATGAGTATAACAAAGCAATCACATGACTATTTTTCTACATACCACAATCTGCTATAACTCAGTCTAAATTCTAACAAGGCCATCCACAACACTGCATCATGCAAAAAGCACAGACTACATCTCACAGCATTCCTAACCATTGCACATGCTGGCTGTGAGTGATGGGTGTTCAAAACATCTAGAAGAGACCAGGTTGGAGGCAGGATGTCATAGGAATACATCTGTTTTGATATAGTAATAAGATTTGAGTTAATTAAGGTCTAGCTTTTAAAAAAAGATTGGAATATTTATCGAGTCCTCTTCTCAGATATGGCATCTTCCCATTTAACTTGTTGACTGAATAGATGAATGAATATAACCAACCACTAGATTCTAATTGGTCAGAATATTTTCATTACAGTGTATAAGTTGTTTGCATAGAAGACTAAATTACCTTTGAACTTCATCTGTGATTAAAATCTCACCTGACTTCTTTCTTTCTTTCTTTCTTTCTTTCTTTCTTTCTTTCTTTCTTTCTTTCTTTCTTTCTTACTTACTTACTTACTTACTTACTTACTTACTTACTTACTTACTTACTTACTTACTTACTTACTTACTTACTTACTTATACACACACACACAATGCTTATATTTCCCCTTTTCACATCCCTTCTGGCAACAATTTCCCTACATCCTCCAGAAATGTTGGATTACTTATCACATCATCCTTGGTCAGTGCAACTAGGCAGAGCAAGGTAGGCCTGGAAGGCGTCAAGTTCAAGTGAAGCTGCTTCAGGTGTCCCTAATAGATGTGCTGTGCTTTTAGAGAGATCCAGAAAACCTAAAAAAGAAATAATGAGCAAAGAGGAGTGAAAGTCGGCAAGTTTACTTCATTCAGAAAATAGATGCAAGGATAATGCAAAGAAATTGATCTGAAGCATGCTGGTTTAAATTTATTGGGAACGGACTCTCTTCAGTCACAGAAGCTCTTGAGTCCCTTGGTTTTTTAATGCCCTTTAAATGGCTTGGACCAAAGCAAGTAATAAATGGCACATAGATAAAACAGCCTGACACTCAGCAGAGATGAGTTCTTACCATGAGATTCTCTTTTCTTTCTAAAAACTATGAAGCAGTCCCGTGAAAAAAAACTACACAAAAACTACTACACAAAACTATTACAAAAAAACTACACAAAGCAGTGTCTTGTGTTAACTTTCCCAAAAGGGTATTCCACCTTAAGGAAAAAAAAGCAGTTGCAAAGAACACATTAATGTGTTTCCCCCTTATTTCTTTGCCTTCTTTCCCACTCTTCTTTAAAAAATTATATTGCATATATCCGCTATATGTTTCTCACTAACAGGGAGAAAAAACCCTATCTGTAATTTTTTTACAAATCTCTGAAGCATGCAGGATCAAGATCTGAACTGTCAGAATAGCTAGTGAGAACATGTGACATAAGGTGTCATTGATTAAATCACTCCGAAGAACCTCGAGAATTCCCTGTAACATGTCATTCTGTGTCACTCATATATCCACTTCTCCCTTCTAACCCTCTATGTTGAGTGAAAGGAGACACTCTAGACATCACTAGGCAATCAGCAATGTCCAAATCTTCTTCAGCAAATACAAGCCACTTAGTCATCACTCATTAATAAATGGCTAAGGATAACTTAGATTCTTCTGACCCGATGCTTTCTGTGGCTCAGGGTTAGATGGAATTCCATAAACCACCACTCCTTCTCCTCCTCTTTCCCCATCTTCTTCTTTCTTATAGCCTTTATTCAATGTCACTAATCTGTCCCAATGATATACTTATGGTGCAGACAGGAAATAAGAAAAAGTGAGAATCACAGCCAGAGCAACAGATCCAGAACGCAACATAGAGACACTTTGAAACAGAAATAATCATTAATTTATTCCAGTTTCAGCCTAGTTGCACTGACCAGGGATGATGTGATCAGTAATCCAACATTAATTTATTCCAGTAGTTGTTTAGTCTGTGTTAGCATATCAGGCCAAAAGCAAAAGTAAAATTAAAAAGAAGGCAAAAACATTGTGGCACCTTAAAGACTAGATGTGATATCCTTCAATCTGAAGGAGTGGGATAGTCACATTAGACTGTAACAGTTAGTCTTTAAGGTGCTACAACATTTTTGTCTCTATTTTTAATGTGTTTTCTCCAGTCTTTGACCTGAAATGGCACATTTCCTGCCAGGCACTCTTCTTAGTAGTAAGGGAACCAATTACATTATCACCAAAGAAGTAGAAATGCGTCAACAATAAGTGGCCCAGAGACAGCCCAGCTATACATAAAATATTCACTTCATGATTTGTATGTTTTGATGAAAAATAATTTTTAACCATCAAAGATGTTCCATCACGAACAACACATGACACTATAGTGAGCCAGAAGATGACCTGGTTCCTTAGCAGCCTGGTGAATTGGCTGTTCAGACTCTTAATTGTTCACGAGCAGCTTAAAGACTCCTTGCTCTCCTTCATTACTACTCTTTAATCTAGTCTGGATAGCCCTTCAAATGGAGAATAGGCGGTCCTCCATAAAGCAAAGCACCTTTATACCTCAGTTTCTTTAGTAAAATGAGCAGCAGGATTATTTCATCAGAAGCAGCCCTTGCATAAGCGAAGCCTCCTAGCCTAATGTTTCAAATCAATGTGGATGCTTTCTTATGGTCACTTTGACAGACAAGGCAAGAGCACGTCTGGCAAATCAGTACCTCCTTACTAAGCTGCTGACTTATAACAGTACCGGGACCCTAAGAATTAATGTAGACAATTCCACTTGATGACCATGTAGCTTAAGAAAATCAATTGGAGTATACAGTATGCCTGAATATAATAATCTTATTTAAATTGTCTGCCATTTGAATCCATGTTCTGAAACAGAAATGAGTTTCAGTAAGGACTAGAAAACAACAATCATTCAATGAATCATACCCAAAGCATATAGGTATATATAGTGATCTGCCACCCCAACCTTGAAAAGAATAAGGAAAGGATGTTTGATGGATACCTTAAAATTTTGAAAGAAGGAATCACTGGAGATATGACAATGCTGGGCCACAGTGGCCTCCTGATTCTCTTTGTCTCTTGTGCTTTACTGAAATTTTTGCAGCTGAGTGGAGACACTAGTCTTCTTCCCCTGCTTTTAATATCTAGAATAAAGGTACAGAAACAAGGCATTTGTATGTAAATTCCATACTTTAGCCCAAATGTATCAATTCATCTCTAAATTACCTGTGGAATACAGCAATGACATTATATCAATAATTCAAAGCAATTAGTTAGTAAGCCAGTCTATTGCTTTTCCACAGTGTATTGTATCCAAAGCAACTCACAGTACCTATCATTTGTCAAAATACTTTGCATTTTTTTTCCATTTTGAAACCCCAGTGTTGAATAAAATAATTAAATGGGAGGCAATGGAAATCTGGGGCCAAAACTGGATAACAGGCTCCTCTGGCCAAAAAAAAAAGTTGATCCGTTATTTAGCTGTACCTCCCCACCTCCACCCCAATAAAACACTTCATGAGAAGTATATCTACTGTTGGTTCTTTTATTTCAAAAACCAGCATTGGGATTTCTTGAGGCTGACACAACAAATCAAAGTGTCAGAACCACAAGAGAATCTTACAGTAAAACCATGCCTAGTTTTTTCATGGTTTTTTTTTTTACATGTAAGTTTATCTTATTGTTAATTTCTTTTTAGTTGGATCTTGGAACACTTCTGCGGCTAAGGAGTGGTGTTAGATAGCCATGAGACTACAATGAGTAGGAAAAATCTGGCTCCAGGTGGTAGCATAAAGTTGAGGTTCAAAGTTGAGGTTAGCTAACCAGAATCTTTATCTTGCCAAATGTCATAAACATATTCCACGTGGAAAGGAGAACAAAGTACAAAGAATACGGATTATAACTGAATATGGAAGTCACTCCTAGAGATTGTTTGAGCCTGTTTTTGAAGAGGAATATATTCTTTGGCTACTTAATTCTAACATTATACTCACCTATTTTCTTTTGCAACAGATTTTTGGATGATGGGCTCTGTGTTCTTCAGTGCCCTAAAGGAAAATATGGATTTCAAGGTCAGTGCTATCCATGCCATCCGACCTGTATGGAATGCAGTGGACGTAAACCTACCCAGTGCACAGCTTGTGGGAAAGGTGGGGATGTCTTCTTTCATAATTTCTCTTCTCTTCATTTGACTTCAATACCCTGAAGGGATCAGAGCATGACTTTGCTGTGTAGATAGAAATTCATTATATTTTCTATTGTATCTAGTTTGAAGAAGTCTAGAGGTGACTTACAGCCCTGTAAACAGACAAGCAATGATCCACCTTTGGCTTTTTCAGTTTTAAACTCGATGGAGAAATTCCCTGTCATCTTTTCATTTGCAGTTTTGTACAATTTGATGTGCTCTTGGTTCTCTTCTCCCATCATGCCAAAATAACTACTTCAGACTAAATTCCAGGCATGTATTCTGGATATTTGTAGAATGACCATCACCTTACTGATGGTTTCAGAGCACAACAAGGCCATCCTTTAAGAATTCTGGGGTTCTTTGACTCTAGTTGCTCTGCTGCATTCAAGGGGTATTGTTCGTGCTAGGATACCATCATCTTCCATTCATAGCTATTTAGTCTTTCCCCACTGTCTTCCCCTTCTTTTTTCTTGTCACAGAAAATCTGTTAAGGGGGGAGGAGAGACCGAGTAACTCCACAAAGTCTTTTGATTGGCCAATGGCAGCAGCAAAGGTTAGGAATCCTTGGCTTCAGGCAATGGTCTGCCTGGCAAAAGAGACTAGACAGAAGGGGGGAATGAGTTTTTGGCAGCTGCGCTTTTCTCAAGCAACTCTTGAGTCTGTATTCTCACAAAGAAAACAAGGTGATTGAATTCAGATTTCCCCCTGGACTGACTTGGAAAGCCGTGTACCAAATTATATTGCATTATTTGTTTTAGGTTAAAAGAGTAACCTAAAATATCAGTAGATTGCATGATCAATATATTGTTCATTTTGTGATTTTATCTTATGGTGAATTTAATTTTATAAGCTTTTGGAAAAGTTACTTTTTTGCAACTTGGCTGAGGGAATTGTAGCCCTAGAATGGAGGGAGGAGAATGTTAGGTACTGGCAAGGAGAAAAAAAGCATAGACACATTAGAGGAGTAAAACATGGCCATGACTTTATTTGTTAAAGCTGGGGAGACTTGACTTAAAATGGAGCACTAACTGTGCCCTTTCCTGGAGAGGTCTGATCTGGCCACAGTGGCATATGCCTTAGTGATACCCCAGCTGGATTACTGTAACACACTCTACGTGGGGCTGCCTATGGAAAATGTCAGGAAACTTCAGCAGATCCAAAACGCATGAACATGGCCATGACTTTATTTGTTAAAGCTGGGGAGACTTGACTTAAAATGGAGCACTAACTGTGCCCTTTCCTGGAGAGGTCTGATCTGGCCACAGTGGCATATGCCTTAGTGATACCCCAGCTGGATTACTGTAACACACTCTACGTGGGGCTGCCTATGGAAAATGTCAGGAAACTTCAGCAGATCCAAAACACATGAGCCAGATTGCTAACTGGGGCTGGTTACAGGGAATATATAACTCTCCTGTTACAGCAGCTCCACTGTCTGCCAATCTATTTCTGGGCAGAATTCAATGTGATAGTTTTAACCTATAAAGCTCTCAATGGCTTAGGCCCAAGGACCCCATCTATAAAGCTCTCAATGGCTTAGGCCCAAGGTATCTCAAGGACCCCATCTCCTTTCATGAGTCTGCTCAAGTGTTAAGATCATCAGGAGAGACCTTCCTCTCAGTCTCGGCACCTTCACAGGTGTGTTTAGTGGGGACACAGGAGAGGGCCTTCTCTGTTGCTGCTCCAAGACTCTGGAACTCCCTCCCACAGGGGGCTAGACTGGCTCCATCTTCACTGTCTTTCTGCAAGCAGGCAAATACCTTTCTCTTCAAACAGGCTTTCCCTGAGTTACTGGCTGCCAAGTGGGTTCCCCACCCCCACCCCATGAATTATTGTACCTTACTGCATTGAATATGTTTTGTTGTTGGTTATGTTTTTAGTATTGTATTCATATGATCCTTTTAATATTGTATACTCATTGTCATTAGCTTAGATACTGTTTTTTAATTATTGTAAGCTACCTTAGATCTCTTTTAAGGAGAAGGACAATTTAAAAATATTTTAAATAAAAACATATAGCAAAGCAAAGCATGCTGCTTATATGCCGCCCTATAGTGCTTCAAGCACTCTTTGGGTAGTTTACAAGTTAATTATGCAGGCTACACATTGCCCCCGCCCCCAGCAAGCTGGGTACTCATTTTACTGACCTCGGAAGGATAGAAGGCTGAGTCAACCTTGAGCCGGCTACCTGGAATTGAACCCCAGGTCGTGAGCACAGTTTTGGCTGCAGTACAGCGGTTTAACCACTGTGCCACGAGGTTAATGAATTCAAATATTGGACAATCCACTTGCCAACTAGTAAGCCACACCCCCCAGCCTACCTCTTAGTGGGATACTGCAAAATTGCAAACACATGGACATCAGCCACTGTGTGGTTCACCTGCAACCTGTGGATAAACTGAGTCAGCCTCTGAGCAGGGCATAACCAAGAAGAATGAAGAAAATGAAGCAACCTCACAGTACAGTTCCCTGTAAATAGAAATGTGTAGAACTAGCAATTGATTGAATATAAGGTAGAAGGGGGTTCTGACCTTAAAAAATATCCCTTTTTTGCTACTGAAATATCAATAGCGATCTCACAAAATGAAATCAGTTAATTTTCCACTCCAATTGAGCTCCAAATACATTTCCATTATTACATGCCCTGAAGTAATTTGTCACCAAGTTATTTCCAGATAACTTCGTCCATAAAGGATATGGTCCCTGAATTCTTTTATTTAATTTCTTTCTACCTCTGCTTCCAATTCCAAGAAAGAAAACAAACCAATCAGGGAGCTTAGGCCAAATTCATTCCCCTTCACTATAGACCTGCATTAATACCGTGTTGAGGAATAAGTGGATGAGGTTGAAAGCAAACCGCTGGATTAGAGTAAGCATTGACAGTACTACTGGATAATCTAGAGTCAGCCACCACACGGATATTGTGATGCCTGCCAGCCTTCACTCTTTCAGTGGAATATGTTTGTGATATCTCCAGAGTAAATATGGCTCTTCAGAGCTTCAAAGTAACTCCTAAGGAAGAACCTCATTTGAACTCCTGAATCAGCATATGACTACATAGTTTTAAATGCAGAAGACATCTTGAAGAAAGAAGGAAGGTATCCTGTATCCATTCCCACTGTTTCAATGGGGTTATCCTCAACCCCATCCTATGTGGCACAGTGAGTGGAATGACATGACACTGGTTGACAGCAGATTCTGAAAAGTTAGCAAAACAGCTCCATTGTTTTGGAAGATAACAGATCATACCTACTTATTGAGATGCAGCACAGTTTTATGCATGTTTACTCACAACTTATTTCCCACCCGATTTAATGAGCTTACCTTGTAGTAAGTGTGCTTAAGCAGCACAAAATGCTTGGATTTGGGAACGATATGTCTAAGATCATTTGAACCCAAGGCCTTCAACAACTTCTCAGCTTTTTTATCCTGCTTTGCTTTCTGCCTTACAGACAACATGCTTCACATAGGAGAATGCCTAGAGAGTTGTCCTCTGGGCCACTATGCTTCAGAAGAGGACAGGATGTGCAAGCCCTGCTTTGAGCATTGTGAAGTGTGTCTTGATCAAACCAAGTGCGAGAGGTGTTTCGAAGGATACTATCTGGCTGGTAATATCTGCAAGAAACATGAATGTAAAAAAGGTAATGCATCTTACAACAGAACATATGGCAGAATAAATTTAATATCCTGGATTTCACTGCATCAAAGGACACTTACACCAACCAAAGAGCAGTTTGCCATTTTCCAGTCTTCTCCCTTTCCCTGTAGGTGACTGCAGAGTTTTACAGGAAACAGATGTTGCATTTCTAAGTAGGACTTGTGACAAACCCAGACCTACTGGGATATGCCACAGTTTCACTAAGCTGCCACCAACCATTCCCTATAAGAAGTCACACAGACCAGGGATGGATTTTTAACAAATAAAGGAATAAGGTTTATTTAAACAACACACAGGGAAAATAAAATGATCAAGTGAATAAGATACAGTAACGTGGCTTAGTCTCAATCATACATACACCAGTTTGGTTCACACAGAACACCTTTCAATAAAGCACAGACCCTGAACCTATCAGTTCTGGCTTCCCATACAGACACCTGAACCTATCAGGTAGGTACTGACTGACACACAGTAGTACCCTGTCTGACACACAGACTCCCACTCAAGCTTCTTGTCTCAGCTCTTCTCCAGCTTCTTCTCACAAGCTCCACATATATATACAGTACAGCCCCTCCTCCTGATGTCCCGCCTTCCACTCCCCATAGGATGGAACTTTCCCTCCAACCCATGACAGACAGGTAACATCAGTGCTGTATGTAACAGGACTTTCTTTTCCCAATATGGTGGCTAACTTCTGGTGACTAACCCAACATATAAACATCATAATCTCCACCCATCTGGTTAGATGGGATTCACTCCCTGCTAAATTGACATAAGACTGAAGTCTTATGAGATACCTCCTATAATCTTAGCCGAGCATGAAGGTAGAGCACAATGAGAGTCAATTCCAAGTGGGGACAAAACATACAACTTAGTCCAAACTGCCCATCTCTCTAATTTATTTCTTCCAGAAAAACAGGTCCAGGGGTGAACCACCCAATGGTGGCAATAGACTGTTCCACTGTCAGCTGGTGGAAAACCATTTTAGCATAGTTTTTCCCACACTTTGATAACCTCTAGCAGTGTTAGGCTACAACTTTTATGAATACTAGTCAGCATGGCCAGTAGTCACGAGAGACAGCGGATGTAGTCCAAAATGCCTGGAGGGGACCAGGCTAGGAAAGTGTGTCTTAACAAGTCAGCATTACTTATCCCCTTGTCAAACACACATGCAAACAGCCTATGTTTAAGTACTGAGATATATGTCCCCCTCCCCCGCATGCACAAAATGTATCACTGCACCACAGATTTCTTTTTTCAGCCCCCCGTTTCTCAAACATACAATTTTCCTAAATGCATTCCAGTTTTCTTCTGTGGTGAATCTCTGTGCATTTATTCAACTATGGATATATTTATTTAAAAACAATTTTGACAAAGCCATTATATATTATTGAAAAGATATCTACTTTTTCAAAGTGAATGCTTAAAAAGTCATACAAAGCCTCAGCTTCTATCTTCCTGAAAAATAATTGTGTGGTGAATTTTAACAATCTAATCCCATATGTGTCTAGGAAGAAAGCTCAGTGAGTATAAGACTATACAGCTTGAACTGCAGGGGATGATTGTGTGATTACAATCACATCAGATCTCATTTTAAATGTTGAAACTGATTTAACACAATTCAAACACATCAATATTTATATACATTGGTCTTCAACATCCCAATCTGTGCAGAAAACCTCTGTTGAGAAGTATGATCCCCAAGGTTGTAGAATGCAGGCATAATTTTTAAGCAATCTGACCTCCACTGAAGAGCAAAGCCATTAGTTTAGTGACTTGCTTACATCCATAAAATGCAGCAATGTCAGTTACTGAAGTTTGCAGCTGAAAATACAAATAAACTGTTTTGGATTATGCAAAATGAGAATTGAATTGGGGCAAGGCAAATTTATTGTCTGAGTATGACTTAAGGCACATCATTATATACTCCAAAACATGAACATACATTTTTATTGCAAGTCTGCACAGATGCTTTTTGCCATGAAATCAGTTTTTTTCTACAATTTGAAACCTGTTTACCAAAATGTAATGAACTCTTTAGTCAGGCAGCCTGGTACATCTGTTTTCTAGCCAACGCAAGGAGCAACATGGGCACCAAATAATAAAATCAAAAATCGGGACAGCCTTTTTTTTCCTACTGGAATGCAACTCCCAAAATCTCATGGCTAGCGACCATGATGGCTGTAGGTTTCTAGAAGATGCAGACCACAAAACATAACAACAATAACAAAGATAAGTTCTTCAGTCTCTGGGAAATGATGGTGGTGTTGGCAGTGATGGTAGTCTCCTGTTTAGATCACCTACCAGGGGGGGAAAAACCACAGACATATACATTAAACTAAATCCTGCTTGAGAGCGTTAATCTAAATGTAATTCTGCACAGTAAGGTTTGTTGACATCATTAGCCAACAAGAGGCCATGTCAGGACGAAACAAGCAACCCACCTTGGATCGTGAGTTGGGCACATGTATGGCCTGGCTTTCCTATCAAAGACAGTGAGGGGAGGCTCAGAGAAATTCCCTCCATACGTTATCCTCCAAAGGGGTGATAAACACATGGAAAGTTCATCAAGGACCACACAACTGGCACCCTGCTACTGAAATAAGTAAATTTCTACCTGATGGCCAACAAGGACTACCAAAGGAGGGAAATATGTGTCCATAAGCTTTTCCACAGTCAGTAACTCTGTATGATTGGGGTTCAACATTATGGGGAATCCTACAGGCCTAACAGAGCTCAGCATCACAGATATTAGGTGGCAGAGCCAGAAATCTGCATGTCAGTGAGCACAACTGTTCTCTGCATGGTGCTTCTTCAAACAGATAATGTGAAAAGGACATTGAGGGTGGCAAAAATGCTTTTGTAGTCTGAGTAGAGGAGACAGTATCTACAGAGCTTTTGAAGCCAGTTTACTTGATACTGTACATGTATATGCCACATTGTAAGGTTAAGCTATAGTACAGATTAGGCAGTCATAAATGTAAAGAACTTAAACAAAGGGAATTTAGAAGGAAAGTTAAAGAGCACTAATACATCCTCCAGTTTTTTAGAACAGAGGAGATCATGAGACAGTGGGAGGCACATGTTCCACGTTTGTACCAGGTGCAGAGAAATGTTGTTTGGTCCATTTCCAGCATTCAAAATAAAAAGAAAAATCCATATGTACTGCCTCTTTCTTTGGGAACAATTAAATTAAGAATTAGCCTTTCCAATGTGCAGGTGAAGTAGAGAGTCTGGACTCCGAAGAATGTGTTCCTTGTGCAGACGGATGCCTGTCTTGCAGCTTGGGTATGTTCTCTTTTTAAATTTTATACTTTACATCTTTCACTTTGGAAGGCATTCTGCCTGTCCCCGTCTGTTCCTGGTGATCCTGGGAGCTCAGCAAGACAGCTGTGATCTAGCATCTCCACCCTTCCCTTCATTATGCTGGACTGAATATGGTGCTTGTTGGGGTAAAAGTGCCCCTCACTTGACTGGTACAAGATATGCCTCAGAGCTTGGGATAAATTCTTTTTTTGGCCTCCCAATCCAGGTGTCTCCCAGGACTGGCCATAGTTGCTAAAGGATTTGGAAAGCTGATTTTTTTAAATTAACCTCTCAAGTTCTGGTCTGCCTACGAGTAATGTCCTTTGATACATGCAGGAATAGTAACAATAATGGGATGCAATTACTCAGTTTTAACTATCAGCATTATGCCACTCTATTATTTATAAAATTTGTTCTTCTTGGGAGGTGTAGTTTTATATTATTTATGTCACATACTCCTCTCCCCCCTACTTTGATAAACTGTAATTGGAAGTTGCCTTGAGATTGTCCCAGCCAATCATATTTATTTTCAGATGTTAAGGAGTGTGGTAGTAGCTAATATGCAATAAGCAATTCAGAAAGCTCTGTATGAAGAGCAAAGTTTGTTAAACTGATTCTTTGTGTGTCTGTGGGTGGGTGTGGGTGTGTGGGGGTGTGGTACTCGTACAAATTAACCTAGTACCTTCTAGGAGGGGAAGAAACACCTTTCCTCAATTTGCAATGCTTCTCATCATGACTGGTCTATATACTATGCAATCTCAGTTTAGGATTAGAGAGTGATCTGAGGGATTATTAAAGAATATCTTGCCAGTATTGCCACATATTACTATACTTCTCTTGCAGATCTGTGACCATAGCTTTCACTAAATTATATAACGAGGAAACTGCACAGACTGTGCTGCTTTTAGAATATAGCAGACTGGCCTATTTTGAGGCCCCTGAGAACCCCTAGGCCTCCTTCCCCCATCTGAAAGAAGTGTATGAGTGAAAGCGATCATTTTTTGCTCCTCAATGTCTCCAGCAGCAGTGGTTTTGCCACAGAATATTCTTCTGCCCTTTTCAAATCGCTTAAAATACATCCAAAAATTCAAAGGCATATGGAAGGCCCAATGTGGGAGTGGATGGGCTGAGCAATCACACAAGGCACCAAGCTGAGGGTGAGATACCAAACTAAACTGAAGGATGTATGAAACTGAGGTGAGTGGGGTGCTCAGCTGTAGGGACACCAACAACACAGGTCACTGTGGCATTATTTATTTTACAGCTGGCCTGAATAGAGTATTCCAGAAACCAGAGATTCCCTTTTTTAAAAAAAGGCTGTGGAACAGTCTATGGGGAATCCTTGAATCAGCTTCTAGAGACCTTCATGGATATAGAGTAGCTCTGGTTCCAGGAACTCACACTGTTAGATTGGCTTTCTTTATGGCATGGCATGACAGCAAATTGTCTAATATAAATCGTTCTGTGATGTATTCTTTCTTTGCCAGAGATGGAAGAGTGCCAGCTTTCTACCTCTTTCAGGGAACAGTTAAAAGGGAGCTATATGTTAACTGGTTGTTACAAAAAAACAAACGAACAAAAAAAACCCCCAACTGCTACTTTATTTTCAGTACTTCCTTCATTCCTCTCAGCTGTCAGCCTTGGACAAGAATGAGCACAAGGATCTGAGCCAACTTATATTTGGCTTCATGCCAGTTAGATATCATGTTATGAAAGAACCCCTTAGGCTTGGCCCAAGTCTCCCCTTCAGTGCAAATGTTCGTAATCAAAGCAAATGGTATCAAAGTATTTGATCACAGATATTCCACATCTCATTACATTTGTCTGTTAGATACCATAGTCTCTCGAGACTGTAGGATGCCTGCCTATGTAGATACTCTTGCTTCTTGTATAAATTTGGAAGTGCAGAAGTAGCTTATTCCACCCTCTTTTGAAAAATACTTTCCTACTAGGGGACAAATCTGTATTGTTGTCACTCCACTGTTCTTAAACGTTTATTAGACAGAATATTTTCATGAGAAATAAAAGATGTACTCCTATGCTTAATATATTTTCTGTTAGCATTGTCTATCACCAACTAACCAGGTTAATGTTGTCTGTTACAGCTAACCAAGAAAGACACTGTCCATCACCAGCTAATGTTGTCTATTACCAGCTAATATGATTACATAGAAGTAAATAAATTAAATATACAGGCTTTGATGGTTTATAGTGATAGCTTTTATCTCTCCTTTGACCACTTATTCTCCTCTCAGTAGTTTCCCATATTACATAAAGAAGTATTCAAAGACAGGCTGAGATTCAGTTAATTTTGCAGATGTTACTACTTTTGCACTCAGAAAGCTTGGCACAAGTGTGTCTGAAGGATGTATAACCTTGGAATTACATGAGAGCAGAACGACCCAGAGAAACTTGGTTTTTTAACAAGAGTTGGACACAAGAGTTGGTTTATTAAAAAATACCAATGTAACACCGAGTGTCCAAACAGAGATAAATGGAAACGTCTACAAGGAGGTTTGCCAAGTCCTAAAAGACACAATTATTCCTATTTAGGATGGGTCTTGGAGGGGGGGGACTGCAGGATCTGGGAAAGATTATTGTGACTAAGTTCTACCCACTGGCACAGTTCTGTTAAAACTGAAGTGTACTTTATTGTATGTCTTTACATCTCTGGTTTTGAGGTATTGTAGGGAGGGTTGGAACAGAGGCATGGAACAGACCCTAGTGCACAAGTTCAGAAGAGTGGTGTTTACTTTTGTTTCAGTTTTAATAAGTGCTTAGAACAGGGGTCTCAAACATCCGGCCCCCCAGATGATAGTTTGTGGCCCTCACCTTGCCTGCCCCCCCAAAGCGCCCACACATCCTCTGCTGTCAAGAGTAAAAAAAAAAAAGCCTTGCCTCGCTCCCCGTCTCTCTCCCAAGACAGCATTTCTTGCACCCTCCATCCAGAACTGCAGCCTTCCAGCCAGCCCACCTGTCTGTTGGCTAAGGAAACTCCTGGGCGGCTTCCTCGGGCTCTTGCTCCGCTTGGCGGAAAATCTGATGCGGCCCAGCCTCACCCAGACTCTGCCTCTAGCGGCCCCCAGGTAAATTGAGTTTAAAACCCCTGGCTTAGAATGAAGTAGCTTTCGTGTATTTGTCACCTGGGGCTTTGGAACTCATAGAATGTCACAGCTTCCTAGCAATAAAGCTATACATGTGAGGACGTAGCATCTCAAAACAGATACTTCCTCACATGTGTATCTGCATTCATTCTAGAAAACATGTATTCATTTTGCAGATGTAGATAATGACAGCTATGGAACAATCAGTTATTACATGGCTGAAAGCATAACATTTATGAACATAACACTAAAAAAATGAGCCAGCTGTCTGATATATATGCCCATATCCCCCCCTTCATATGGTGTATTTCCCTGTCTTTTGTTTTTCTACTTCCACCCCACTTCCTACTCTCTATTTTCTTGTTTATTCTTTTATTCACTTATTCATTCCCTGTTTTGTCTTTCACTTTCCTTCTGAGAGTCAAACTAGATGCTCTCTCTTTAGCCCTGCATTGTTATTTATAGCTTCCTCATTAAGATAACACTCCTTGAAACATAGAGTGGGGGTGCAATTAAATAAGTGGCATTTCTGCAGCTTGTTCCCCTTCCTTCTTTTCTATTTCAAATAAAATTTATAGTAGTTTGAACTGCTATAAAGGGAAGCACTATTGCTAAGAACTAGAATACGTGTTTCTTTCTGCCCTCTTACGTTATTAGCTGATTTCCTTGGTGGACCAGGAAATTCTAAGTGGAACTTCTCTCAGGAAATGCTGCTGCTGAAGAGGAGTTTCGAGGAACTAGATGCAACCCAGTGGGATTTTATCACCCTGGTAGAACATATTTGTAAAATGTCGGCATCAATTTTATTAAATGGTCTTGTACGAAATGCTGTGGAGCTGGCAAAAACTATGGGATTTAATAATTAATCTAATATTGTTTTATAATAATCAAAGAAATGACAAGTATCCCAGTATTTGATGGATACCAGCTCAGAGGATCTAAAGAATATAAATGTCAGTGTTGAAATCCTCAGGGAGCCATCAGGAACTTTGATGTTAAAAGTACTGGGGTGGGGGAATCACAGGAAGCCAAAAGTGGGGAAACAACCACAGGGAAGTCATTTAGAAATGTTATTGGGGGACTGGGCTCAATGTTTTCCATACAGGGTTTAGGCTGATGGAAGGAGAAGTCAAGTAATCATTTTGGAGTAAAATTTAATTGTTATGTCATCTTAGTTCCACTAAGATGACTTGGTAGAGACAGGTTTTAGGAGAATAAAAGTATACAACCTTCCTTCCTTCCTTTGACTTTTATACCATCCTATTAGCGCAAAGCACTATTCTGGGTGGTTTACAACAATCATTTTAAAACAGACAATACCAGGTAATTTAAAGGCAAAATTAAGACATTAATAAAAACAAACAACACCAAGAACAATTAAAGCACTCTCTCGCTCTCTCTCGCTCACTCTCTCTCTCTCTCTCTCTCTCTCAGCAACCAGTTGTGAAGGTCAAGCTGGTTTACAACAATCATTTTAAAACAGACAATACCAGGTAATTTAAAGGCAAAATTAAGACATTAATAAAAACAAACAACACCAAGAACAATTAAAGCGCTCTCTCACTCTCTCTCGCTCACTCTCTCGCTCTCGCTCTCTCTCAGCAACCAGTTGTGAAGGTCAAGCTGCTCTTTCTTTGGCAGCAATTTATAATTTAAAAAAATTACCTAAGAAGTGCTAAAGCCTGAATTTTGTACCTCAAAAGATGGATGGATAGATGTTGTTCCAGGGGAAAGTGAGTGGGGGAATGTTTATTTGAACCAGAAGTTCAACCTCTTTGAGGAACAAAAATCTAAGACACTAGCAATTGATAAAACTTTTCCAGTTGATTCGCCAGAGTATCACTTTGCCAGGTGCAGTGCCAGATGTTCAGACCCTTC